GGGCTTGGTGTGCTAATCAATCTCATGCTGACCCATGCTATCTGACTTGCAACGTGTATCGGATCATCTGTACCAGTTCAGGGAACTGTCATGAAGAATTCTTCCATGGCTGCTGGGTTTACAAAGCAATCTTAATAAAATTAATGATACGATGAAAAAATCCTAAGTCACTTAAAAACAAAATTACTAATTCACTGTCAGCCTCTCTCTCACAGAGAAAAACAGCGCTATGGCAGGGATAGGAGCTGACCCAAAGTTGCTGCCAATTTAGTCATCAACCTGCCAAACTGACCTTCCACTGGCGCATCCCACTATTGCTGTTTATCAGCCGGACTTATAAATAAGCAGTTCTTTTTATACTATACCAATGGACTCGCTTTCATGTCGGATTCTTGCATTTCTTCTGCTTGAGTCTCATCTGGAAAACTTGGTTAATTGTTGCTTAAGTATCTGATATCATGTCCCCTGAAGCATTCCACTGGTTTGGATTGGGACCCAAGCAGTTGTTTAATACTGATTTTACAATTCTGTGCATAGCGTGCTCCACTGTTTTGCACATACTTTTATGATTTTGAATGCATTTAAGCAAAAATAAAACAAATCTTAACAAAGCGCTTAAATAATGCAACCACAAACCAAAGTTACACAGAAGGAGCAACGTTCTGACATCAGAAGACCAATAAAAATAATTGGACTCAGAATCTAGGCCAATAATTTTTTGTGTTTTGAGTATTTTTGAGATTCCAGATTAAAATGATTTTTCTTCTCCAAAATTATATCCAGGAAGAAGAGCTCTGAAGGCAGAAACTTCTGATTATGCTTAATAATAATTCTTCAGTGTTCTCCTATCAGATACTCCTGTGAAACAGGAGTATTTCTTTGGCTTTAGAGAAATTGAAAACTATTGGGAAATGCATCTGCATGAGTCTAATCCTGAAAGGTGGTAGAAAATATATACGTATGTTTTATTTCCAGTCGTTTCCAAAATGCAATTTTTAAAAAGGCTTTATTGGAAAGCTAGCTGCAGCACAAAGTTCCAGCTAGAGATTTCAGTTTTAGATTGAGATCTTTTGTAGCAAGCCAAGACACTTCCACATTAGCTGCTATTTTGATAACCTATTAATAATTATTTTCATCTGGAAAATATGTTTATTTGTTGTTGTTTTTTAATGTTAAATTCTACAAAGAAGATAGTTACTGGGATAATGATTCCATGAGGAAAATATGTAATGCTTACTGAGCCATGAAGCTTTCCCTCTCCAAAATAAGTATTTATTTTTAATTTTATCCAATGAATTTCAGGCTTTTAGCATCAGATTGATTTCATCATAGTAACCTAAATCGGTTGATTATACATTAAGAAAACACGGCTGCATTAGTAGCACTTCTAAGGCTGAAATGTTTATGAATGGAAGGCGAAAAACAAAAGAAAGATTTTTTTTTTTAAATTAGGTAATCAAGCAAGAGGAACGGAGAACAGCTGAAGTTTTAAACTACATTTTTCTTTCAGAAATTACTTACTTGGGCTTACAAGCCAGACAGGCAGGTTTTCCCAGTAGCATTCTCAAATTAGGGTGAGGAATAGTAATTCTGGACCCCAGCCAATTCCAATGTAAATCTGTTTTATTCACGAAAGTGAGCCAAATTGCCTTTATACAACATCTCACTGTTTTGGGAGACCTGTGATATTCTCAGCCCCCATTCTTGGTGTCAAGAAAACAAAGTGCTTTTTAAAATTCTGAACTACAGGCACAGCTAGAGCAATACAGGCCAAGTGCTTGCTATTAAATATGAAATGAACACTGAAATGTAGTTCAGTTCTTTGATTAAGTTTCTGTGTTTCAGCATACATGCGCATGCCTTGATAAACACACACAATCACATCTTTGAATGAAGTGAATTGGTGTAACTCTCAAAGTCAGTGGAGAACCACTAAGATGAAAATACGGATAACAGTCCTACACAAGGGCATTTGAAACAACCGCCAGGTATCGCTGTATTGGCAGATCTCATTTGAAGCTCACAGAAGAAAATTAAAACAAATTGTAAAAATGTCAAGAATGATAATTTTCTGCTCTTTTAAAAGAGAGAGAAGTGGCTGGCCAACAATTCTGCAAGGCTTTTAATGGGAATGTTTACACCTAAGCGATAACTGATGCATAATGGAAGAAAGTGAGGCATGAACTGGAATTGTCACGGGTTAAACTCAGTCCTTACTCTTCAACAGTGATTTTAAATCACTCAAGGTACACCAGTAGCGTCCACCACGACTGTGACGGACATGAACTTTCAATCACTGTTCACAGAATATTACTGGCATCACATTATCGCTGGTGGCAACTGAACTTATTCAAACTCAAATATTACACAGCAAACAAAGTTTCAGTTCATTTTCCTCTAGTGAAGTATCAAAGGAAGCAATGCCCTTTGATGCAGCTCCCTTGTGCTTTAGGCTTTATACAAATTCAACAGAACAGCACCTCAGAAATCATGTACCAAATGCAAACAATCCACACCTTTGGAAAACAATCCCTTGTTAGAGGAGTAAACAAAAGCATACATTAGTCATTCACACCAAAGATGGGCAGCCAATGGACTTCATGAGATTTAACCTCAAAGACTAATAGCATGCAGTGTTCCCACATCATTGTATCACTTAAACGGTCACGAAAAGTCGAATATCATACAACATATAACATCTATATGTCCATTCATACAGGCTATCAGCAACTGATCACCAGCAGAGCAAGGGGCTAAATGACGCACTCGACAAAGCTTTTCTTTATGAATAGCAACTGTTCTCTCTCAGCCACTGAATTTTGACCTTGAAAATCACACAGTTCACTGTTACGATTTCTAGCTTCACTACCATGGCCAAGAACTGAACTACAGGTTTGTTTTTATTAGCTTCTCAGCTTCTTTGCCAGCTATTCATTTGAATCTTCTAAACAGTCATCTCTGAATCATAATGCAAATTCCATTTACTGAAAAGGTGGAACCTTTAATATAACAAATGAACATGTTTAATGACTGATTCTTTTAGACATTACAGCATCTCTCATGTTTTCAGTAAATGGATATAATTTTCTCTGCATTACCCTATTATTACTCTTCGCTAGCATTACGAAGCTGCATTCTCATCTGCGGGTGTTTTCCACCAAGTGCATTTTGAATACAGCCCAAACGACACGATTTAAAAGATATCTCCCTCTGCAACCTAAGCTAAAAATGCTTCAGGACACTGGGGGATTGGATGGGTACTTTATACACAAAATGTATTTATTGCTTACATCTATGTTTCAGCTGGGCCACGTTCTTCTATGACTGCTGACTGTATTTATATTAGAAGAATATCCACAAACTCATTTCACTTCAAAAGTAAATAAAAGCTGTTGCACATATTCAGGAGAACTTCCTCAGTCTAAAGCCTGACCCATCTCCTATTTGAAGGGAAGATTTTGAGAGGGAGAGCAAAAGCAGGTCAGTTATGTAATTCTCCTGATGTATGATTTTAACTGTGTTTGTGTTTGTAGAGTCACGCATGAAAACGCATTGGGAGATGGCTAGGACACCGAAAGAGTGCCCACATGGCGGGAGAGGGAAGGGAAAATGTTGAGGAAAGGTCACCTAGCCTCACAGTATTCAATCTGGTTCTGAGAAACAACAGCTCACAGACTGTAATAAAGTTGTGGTAAAAAAGAACTTATTTAAGTGCAGTAGATACTATCGTTTTGATTTGTGAATGGTACAACACTGCATTGTCCTTAAATAACAATGCTGTAGTTGGAAAAACATATTGTTATGTTCCGATTTTATTTGATGATATGAACTAAACAGAAGAAAAATACATAAGCAAATAACATACGAAGTCACACGGAAGATGCGACACTTTTCGTTCTCCACCTTAAAACAGAAAGGCTGATGACCTCTCTGAGCTTTTTCTAAGCAACAGGTCACCAGCTTGTCTTCTGTAGGTTTGATTTAATAACCCTGACCCATGCAAAGCGACTCCATGCAGAGGAAAGAGGGCAGTAATGTAAGAAAAGTGCTTAAAATAATCTTGTAATAGAAAGGTAAATAGGATTGTTTGGAATTTATGGTTTTTAAGATTATGGGCTGAAGCCAAAGGCTGCAGTTACTAAGGGTCCTGCCACTGATTTTACAGGTTTTTGCATCAAGCTTTGTACAGCTGTTCACCCACAGGATACGTGCACTGTATGCGTGAGCTGCTATTTGAAGCTTTCTCACAACAGTTGTGCACAGTTACAGTCTAAGTTTTGACTCTTTTTTGTTGCTTGCACTCATAAGGCCTTTTTATTGCTACTAGCAGTTTAATGGTTATTACAGAGATACAGCAGGTCAGATATTAAGCTGATCTATTCTATTCTATTCTAAGCAGCTTGCAGTAGTACATTAAACAATATGCATGTGGTTCTACGTCTATCTGAGAAAAGGAAAGATCAGAAAAAGAAAAAAGAGCCCTATACCTCCAGTAGGTCATGACGAAATCTGAAAATTCTTAGATATTGTGAGAATTGTTTGTAATTTTAGGTTGACTTGTTCTGCTTCAGAGAAGGGTTTTTGCAGAGTGCCATCACGCTGCAAGCCCTGAGATGGTCACGATTCTTTCTTTACACAAGCTGAGAATTCTTATTTTAAATTGAAAGAAAATATATAATTTACACTTAAAAGTGCTGTCCTAAACGTGCAGAGAGACTTCTGGGTCACAATGAGGCTTACTGTCTTTGTGAAGGCTTTTTAAATGAGATCCTACCATTCAAAAATTGAAGTAACACACAGGATGGACTAGCAAAAAAAAATCCAAAAAACCTGAAGAAAAACACATAGCAGATTCTGTACCTTCGGAATTGGCCTCAAATAGATTTTGCAGTGTTCCCCGCAGCAGAAAACCTGATATATTCTGTATTCAAAATCTGTATAACTAGAACTTAATATAACTAGTAAATATGACCAAACTATAGTTATGAACAAATACATACCTCTTCCACTTCTACCCACAAATCTGAGGTCATTGAACCTTGCGACTTGGTTTTTCATGGCAGCTGTTGCATTTCTGAGTTCTGCGGAGTAATTTTCGTCGTTCCCAGCCATTACTGTTACCAGCGTCCCATCGGGCACATCTCCTAAGGCCACCACCTAAGAAATCAAAGAGCGGAATCCTCAGCTTCCTTATGTGACATTTATTTTCAGGGTGCAGAATATCAACAAGTGACATGATAATATAGGAAAGAGCAGCAACAACAAAAACTTGCGTAGACTAAAAAGCTGTTTAGTGAAAACAGGAAGCTTTTCCATTACTAGTTTGCAGAGCTAGGGACAAATTTTTACATTGATGTACATCTGAAATACAAAGTATAATGTGCACCTCAGCATGAAAAATACATGCAGCAAGCTTTCTAATATATACTGTTGTAACTGTCAATAAAAAAATTCAAGTAACAGGAACCAATTCTGCTCTCATTTTCATCAGTAGCATTACTTTTGACCTACATCAAAGTCAGTACAATCATGTAAGTGTAAAATTCATGAGAAAATAAATCATGAGAAAACAAAATAATCCAATTGTCTCATGGACACAAAGGGTCAGGCTCCCCACATTCGTACCAGTTCTCTATCTTTTCTTCCCACTCATCTGAATGTAGCTGCCAAAGCATAAATCTAGAATAAATCCATGGAAAAGTAGGCCTCGACCGCATGTTTAATCACAATTTACTACATTTCTTTTTCTCTTTAGGGGCAAGAAAGAGAACCCATGACCTGATAGATGGAAATTGCGAGCTGAACTAATGAAAGCTGCAATAGCTTAATTAAAGATTTTCACGTAAACACATAAAGGTTTGCAGTGTAGGTCCTTAGTGCCAGTATCTACCAAGCAAATATTTAGGAACATAGGATTTGCTGTATTTTTGACATGATGGCTGAGAGATATGCAGATTTCTAGCCTTAATTTTCTTGACTTGTATCTACAGTGTTCACATTGCTTAAAATAATGAGAATTTAATTTTATCCTAACTTCTTGAACAGGACTGAATGCGGGTCTCAGAACAATTTTACCCTGCTGTAACTGAATGGTGGTTTTGGTGCTGCTCTGGATTTATTCTGGCAAAAGAGCGAGCTTGAATTTGGTCTTCTGTCATGCTTTTTTAGGTTCCATTGCTGAGATGTTCCCCCCAATTAAGTCTGCAGTAATGACCTCAAGATTACTACTATAAAAAAAGTTTAAAAAAATCTAGCTTGTTTTTATTTCCTCTTTTACATATTTTAAGAGGAAGTAGTCCTGCATCACATCCTCTGAGTTACTGCTTGATATTTTTCCTTCCTCTTAGCATTTTCTAGTTTATGTCCATGTAGTTATAATTGGCTTAAACTTGTCACAGTCCCAGTCTTATTTCTATTAGTTTCTAATCACTCTGTTCTTTCCAGACAAGAACAGCAGCTCCTTTACTTAATCTGTTTCTAATGCTTATTTCCCAGTCATAACTATTTTGCGTAGTATCACAGAGTCTCCATCTCAGGTATTTCATAGTCTCTCCTTATACATGAGGCTACACTTCTCACTTCAGTGCTTTCCCATTTGTCACCTCTAACCCCTATTTTCACTTCCACATACAAAGTTAAAATCACTGTGTCAAAATTCCCTCTTTACGTATATATTTCAACTTCCTCTTTCCCATTCCTCTATGGCCCATGCTTTTGTTTTTTGTTCTCCTCTATATGCCATAATGTGTTTCTGTGGCCTGTTCTATACTCAGCATTGTGCTTTTCAAATTTCCCTGATCTTGACATAAAATAGTTCCTACTCAAAACATTTCATCTATGAAGTTTTCTCCTTCCCAAATGTTGTGAAATGAAGCGCACTGTCTCACCAGATCAACCACTGCAAACCCGATGCTCTTACCCAGTTCTGTAAAAGCTATCATAAAGCCTTAACCCCCCCATGATGCAAATATTTGTATGTTTGTTTAAGCAAATATACGCTAGCCTTTTATGGGATGAAAAACCCACATGAATCCAGGGTCAGCTCTCTCTTACTGGACAAATATTATTTAAAATAATCACTTTTAAGTTACACTGAAGGCAACCGCAGCAATAAGAAACATGAAGAAAATATTAGAAACAAGTATGAAAAAATTGCACAGTACAGAAAAGAAACTAGAGTTAAAAGTCACAAACAACTGAAACAGAAATACAAATATTTACATTAGAAAAAAGACTAAACAGATAAGTTGGGACTCGCTGACTGGAGATATCTAGTACTTTGCTTTACTGTTTACCTCTTCAAAATACATCTTCAGAGAAGTGGGAAGACTATCAGAGTTGTAACACTGCTGTGTATCTAAATTACCTACTTCTGGTGGATCACTCAAACAAAAATGGGCTTTTAAATCAAGATTTAGATTATTTCCTAACAGTGTTTGGATGATGAATCTATATGGCACCTTAATAGAGCTACTACATATTTTTCTCTATTTCTCATAATCTTTATTTCTTTTTTAGAAAAAAGTAATGAATGAAAATGATAATTTTGATTTGAAAGAATATCCTGATTCTAAAGATTAAATACAATGAGTAAGTTTTTATAAGGAAACATGAGTAGAAAACTCTGTCTCTCTCTTTTTATTGGTGCAATGGATGGCAGAAAATACTTAATAAAAATCAGAAGTTTTTTTTCGTCAGATGAGAATAAGATACTGGCAGCATAGGAAGGACCTGAACTGAAATTTCTTGTTTCTCTAAGATCCAAATTATCTTGAGAATTCCGACTTTAAAAAGGTCTTAATTCACTATTTAGTATGAAACAAATCAGATTGTTTTATACGTGGTAAAATATTTCGGGACTCATTTCTCAGCAGTCCACAGGTTTTGTTTGGGGGTCGAGCAGCACAGAATGCATCGGAAAGCAGGTGCCTTACAACCTGCCATTCCAGACGCTTGCAAGGAAATACCCCCCCCTCGCTTTTTTTTTTTTTTTTGGCTGAAGTATATCTGTGTTAAAATATATCAGCGTTACAAACTCTTTGCTTTACTTTGAGAACCCGACCCCTCACTGCGTTTGCAGAAGCTGGGATCCGGCTTGCGGGTTGCACTGGTTACGGGGGGAAAGGAGAGGGGAAGGTGACCTCGCAGGGCTTTCCAAAGCCCCCTCCGGGCTGCTAGGTGAGTTTTCTGCGGGCAGTTTCCCTGCAAGGGGCCCCGGGCGCCCCCGCGGGCAGCCGGACCGGCCGGGGAATAATCGCATTATTGACTCTTTTCTTTCTCCGCTTTCCCACCCGGGAAAAGAGCGGAAGCTTGCGGGCGTGCTTCGGGGACAGCCGCGCGTGGTGGCACTTGCACGACAAGGGCGGACTGAGGAGGACCCAAAGGAGAAATCGCAGCCAGATTGCGAGTCGTCGCTTATCTCCTTTCCCGGCGGGGCGGAGCGGCTCGCACGTCTATTTTCTACGGTAACTCTGCCTTCCAGGAGGAGAGCTTCCCCGGTAATTAGCAGCAGTTGTACTGTGCGTGGGTGACAGTATAATAATTAAGTTAAATGTGTGAATTTCGGAACTGACCCTGCCGATTTGTTCCTCTCTTTCCCCAGACTCATATATGCGTAAACAAGAAGACTCTGCAGACGTAATACAACTTTTCCCTCAAGCCGCCTTCTCAGCAGTATTTCCCAAAGCTTTGGGGAGCTAAACTGATTACCTTCTCCCTCTTTTTTCCTTCCCTCAGAAGCCATCAGAAAGACTCGGGTCTGCTCTCCTTTGGCGACGTTGTACTGGGGTGGTCGGGATCTAGCAGCGACCACGAAAGAAAACAGTACAAACTTCGCAGTTCCCGATCGCCAGGCTAACCCCGGGACTTCGGCGAGAGCTTAGGCTCACGCCTAGGCTCACGCCTCGGAGAGATGGATAACGACGATAATTACCTTTTCTCTCCGTCGCCGGAAGCAGAGCTGCATCAACGGCAGGAAAACCAGCGCATTCGGGAAGTTATCAATAGGCCAAAGCCAAAAAAGAAAAATGACCGGGGAGGGGACGGACGATTTTGACAGGAACCCAGGTAACGGGAGCCAGGCCGGGCAGAGGAGGGAAGCGCAGCAGCTCGCTCAGCTCGCCCGCCCGGAGCCGGGCC